GTATTTATTTATTTAATTGTGGCACTTTCAGTCCTCCATAGGACAGAGCTCAGGCCTGCCTTTGTTGCACCCCTGATGTCCTCACTGGAGCACATTGAAGCAGTAAGAAATGTCTCTTTTTTTTATTTTTTATTTCAAAGTCATCTGTATTGCAAAAAGGGGGTTACAATTCAGATGTGACTTATAGATATATATATAACAGTATATAAACATATAAATTACAAACAAAGTGAAATAAAGCTTTGCCAGGAGAAGCTTATATGTTATTACAAAGAGAAAGAGGACAATATGTTGACAGTTTTAACCGCCTTTCTGTTGTTGGAGCCAGAAATCAACTTAATATAATGCACAACTTCATGGAGAAAAAGTACAAAATTAGGTTTTTTACTGTTGAATTTACATTTATGAATGTGGAATTTATGGAATTAGATTTGTGCCAAAAGAAACAAACAAAAATAGGAATTTGAGAGAACATAAAACTAAACTTTATCATAAGGTCTCATCACTGTGATATATTAGTTTATTTTGTCAGGCAGAACATTGACATACCCTTCTTGAGAAGCCATCAATCCCACCAAATATCCCGACATTAAATCTGAGAAAAAAAGTACATTACATTATATTGTTTTTATTGTGGGTACATGCATATGTGTGTTTAGTGAAAGCAAAAAGTTTTACAGTGAGAGACGGAGTGAGAGGGCACAAGAAAGAAACACTCACCGAATTAATTTAAGGTTGGTGTCTATATGAACCAAAGACAGTGGTGCAGGAACACAGTAGGTTCTGCGAGCGACAAATCCAACCTGTATCATCCTGGCCAAAATTCCAGCTCCATCCACCCGTTGCATAGTAGCCTTCACCCTATGCCACGGCACACGGTAGCCTCTCGCTAACAGCTCACCTTTCACCAGTCTATACCCAGCATAGGGCATTCTTGATTTTATGGACCTCACAGCATGATCAAGTTCATCATCAGATATTTTGGAATAGCATCCACGAACAGAAAGACCATGTTCTTTCATCCGCCTATTAAGTGTTCTTCTTGAAACACCATACAACCTGGCTAACTGTTCTACAGGAAGTGAAGTGGAAAGGAGACTTTTAAGATCATCTGCATGAATTTCCAGGCGTGGCCGTCCCACCTCTCCCACAGTGGCAGTTACAACATATGACACATTAACTGATGTTTCTGAAACAGATTGAATGGGCAAACTAAGGATGTTGATCAACTCCTGTAGACAGTGAATGAGTTCTGGTGGGATGTTTAAGTGATCTACTTGCCATTGTTGCCAAGGAAAGCTCTTGTTGAGCCATATCCAGGAGGTACTCCATATCTAACGTCTCATTTCTGAGGATCAAGCTGAATCTTGTTTGAATCCTCTGCAACAGTTCATTTCGTACTTGCTCCTGCAAGCACAGACATTGCCAGATGTCAAAAGTACATAATGTCTATAGAACTGAACAAATGTCATTACATTATACAAAAGCACTTTCTCACAGACTGTACTATAATTGAAATGGGCCACGACCCTATATCCTATATGATTAATAATATAATGGTCCATGTATTAGGATTTAAGTTCAAAATAAAAACATAAATTGTCCCATTAACTTCATATTTTAGAATGTTGTTGATTCAGAAGATAGCTAAAAAATTATACTACATAACGTTACATATTACTGTGATATTAGCTGGATCATAACATGTTGTAATAGATGGGTAGGTAACGTTAATTACCTGGGACTGCATGTAGCCCTGTTTAGGTCCTGCTCAGGTCCCACACTGTTCAACAGAGAGAAGGTGACAGTTAAGGTATTAACAAGGCAGCTCCACCAGTCTCCCCTGATTCACAGGGCAAATTATGTGATTTTTAACAAATGAAATCATCATTAATAAAATAAAAATAAAAAGCACTATAACGTTTATATACAGTATCTCAACTATTGTCACTTTTTTACACGTAACTTCCAGGAAGCCCACCCACCCGAGAGGTTTGTGCCAAAACTGCAAACAAAAAATCAGAGAGCGCAAACGAGAGAGCGCAGCACAAAAGTCTGAGCTTAGAGAGAGAAGCAGAGGGAACCGTAAACACAATAATGTCAATATTTTACACTATTTGACAAATTATTTGATTGCTAGTTATAATTTTTATTTTTGAAATTAGTTTTATGTTCTCTCATATTCCTATTTTTGTTCGTTTCTTTTGGCACAAATCTAATTCCGTACGAATTTTGCTGCTGAGCCCTGTTTGGTTGCATGCTAACGGCACCTACATTAGCAGTTAGTGGAGGACAACGGATGGGAAACCAGATAATATTTCTTCCACTAAATCTGATCCAGTTTCACCCAAATCACTGATAAAGTTGTGATTTTCTACAAGTGAAAACGGTGTGTTTTTTAAATCCAGTAATTAGTCGATTTAAATCTCCGCCCACACCGGAGGATAAATCTGTACATATGGATTCGGATTTACTCATTGCACATTACTGATATAAACTATAAAGTCTGTAAGGTTATTTCTTGAAACTGTTTAAGCAAGATTTACAAAATAATGATGAACTTTAAAAATGCAATTTAACTTAGCTTGAACTTAACCCCTTGAAATTTGCAGGAATATTTTAATTAATTTTTAAAGATTTAATTCATCAAGTATCACGGTTTTACTCTCATGTCCTTTCCTCATGCAGACACACAGGATAACATGGATAGTGCCACTTGGTCAGACGTTTATTTTTAAATTATGTTATGTCTATCCTGCAAATTAAGGCTCCTGGTTTATTTGACAATACGGTCACCATAGTGATAAAAACACTTAAAGTCCTGGTGAAACGGAAATCAGAGAGCTGTTTGCTTTCACACATTTAAATATTTCCTGTATAAACAGGTAGCGTAGTTCTGTCCGCTGCCTTAAAAAGAAAAAAACAATAAAACAAAGGTAACAAAAATGTTTACAACAAATGTCAAACATGTATTGAAGTGCTAACTTGGAATTTCAGTGAGAAAATTAGATACGTACTCTTTGGTAAGGCTGTCAAAAGAACACATGATTAAGGTGTCGATTGTGTTTTTTGTGTTTGTGTCCAGATCTATAAACTCCAGAGGAACAGAGCTCAGGTCTTTCTCTGCAACTGAAGACCTCTCTCTGTTATGGTGTGCTGACGGGGATGAGCTGCTTTTGGATTTTCCATTGTCTTCTGCCTTTGTATCAGACCTGACATTCAGGAAGGGTCCTGGTGTTACATATCTTTTTGACAAGGTTGTCCTCCATGACATCAATATCCTCCACATCCACCAACTCCAGAGGGACAGAACTCAGGTCTTTCTCTGCAACTGAAGACCTTTCTCTGTGAAGGTGTGGTGGGGACAAGCTGCTGGTGGATTTTTTATCTTCTGGTGGGATCTCCTCATTCTCCACGTCCAGAAGTTCCCAAGGGACAGAGTTCAGGTCTGCTTTTGTAGCAGTCCCGATGTCCAGGGAGGATCCTGGTCCTGCGTCAATTTCTCTGACGATGTGGTTCTTTAAGACATCGTCATCATTTTCCTCCACATCCACCAACTCCAGAGGGACAGAGCTCAGGTCTGCTTTTGATGGACCCTCTATGTCCTCAGTGGTGCACACTTAGGCAATGGGAGATGGAGAACCATATTTGGAATCACTGAATGTCTGACTTGGCAGTCTCATCCGAACCCTGTTCTTCAGCCACTTTTTTGTTTGGCTTCCGTTTGAACAGTCCTCTGACTTCATCTTAAAGATATTTCTGCCACCTTTTCTTTTTTATGTCCTGTCAGAATCACAAGAGTTTTGTGTACTGATGTCTGCTGTTACACTTCCTCTTGTGTTATCCGTCATCTGGTCTTCTTCTGCATCTCCATGGTGCTCTGCAAACACCCATCGGAGGCCAAAAAATCTTTTCAAATGTCGCTCCACTTTGTTGTGGGTGCGACAGTCCATGGACAATGCAGTCTCTGACTTGGAGCTTTCTTCAGCCTCCCACCTGGAGATAGACTGCATCAGCTTGTCGAGATTGTCAGCCGCCCGATGCATTATCTCTGAGACGAGCATGCTGGCATTCTCAGAGGTAAGTGAGCTTTGTTTGTTACTTGTATTCTGCTTAGGTGAGGTGACGGGGACCCCTCAGTCCCTCGGTCACGTCGAGCACGTGCTGTCTTTCTTCTGACACTTATTCGTCTTCGGAATTGAAGTGGTGAGCCGAATCTTTCACAGGAAATGTGTAAATGTGTGAAGCTAACAGCTCTCTGATTTCTGTTTCACTTCAAGTGTTTTTGTCAGTAGAATGACCATATTGTCAAATAAACCGGGACACTGATTTATTAATTATTGTTTCCTGTGGTAGGAGCTACAGCATATAGAAGCAGGAGTTGAAAGTTTTCCAGGAGAGGATGTTGGTGAGCAGGCCACAGGGTTTGTTGGCTGCCAGGGGCTCCCATTTGTTTTCATTTTTATTTAGTATGTTGTTTTCTTCTGTTGGGCCAAGCTGATCCTCACACTAAATAAGCTGCACTGAACCACTGCTTGAAAAAAAAAAAGGGAAATAAAGACATTTGAACTGGCTGAGCAGTTTCAAGGTCCCTTTCTTCCTGCCTTCACCGCTCAAGCAACCTTACATACACCCTAATCAAGAAATTATGCCATCTAATTTACTCACAGAAACCTGAATGTTTTGGTTTTGTGTATAAAACGGTATTAAAGAAGTTGCTCAAGGTTTCTCCCTGTTGCTAACATAACGCTTTACCAGTGAGGAACCAGAAGCAGAGCACTGTGTGTGGTTTTTTTTACCACTCAGCAGAGAGAGTGTCTCAGCTGTCCCAAACAGTCACATGAACACACACACATGCAGACCCCCCCCCCCACACACACACACACACACACACATGCAGACCCCCCCCCCCCCCCACACACACACACACACACATGCAGACCCCCCCCCACACACACACATACATACAGACCCAGGGCTGGGCTAGACTGGCCTGCTGGCATTACTCATCCCAATCTCCCACCTGTTGGAGCCTCATTTGGAAAGTTGAGCATGTAAACGACTGAACAACAGGGTTGATAGAAAAAGCTAGAAAGATTTCCAGTTTCAAGCTACAGGGAGCCCTCCTGACTACACACAGTGCAATAAGAACCACCTCACTTGGACAAGAAGTGGAATTCAAATATAACGGTCAGTTGACAGTTTTTTCCTGAATGTCCAGAATAATGATCTACCCTGAACTTTGCCATTTTTATTTCTAGTACTTGCCTGGGTACAACTAAGAATGTTTTCTTGTCCGTGTCCTCAACATGTATTTTGACATGTAGAGAAACCTGAGAGGCTGGGAACGCTATAAACCCTCTGTAAATGTGTTTGCCATATATGCCAGGTTACAAGTGAGTCCTTTGATTTAGCTAAGATTAAGTTGCCTCCCTAGAACTGACCTCAGTTTCCACTGCATCTTGAAAAATGACTGTACTAAAGTGATGCCAAACGCGGTAAGAAAATGTATTAATTAACTAACAATAATTAAATATGAAGTTTGTGGGCAATTCTGACAGATCTAAGGTTACTGCTTGATTATTAATTGTAAGGTTAACAGAAAGGACATTGTTTAGAGACTTAATGGGAATCCCTTTGCAGCAACAGAAATGATGCTCATGTGTTTTATGTCTACAGTGCCATCTGCTGCTCAAGGCTCTGAGTATCTGGAGGAACTAAACCTCGACTGACCACACAGCACCATGGCTAATTATGACTCGTAAGTTCAGACTGCACACCGGACAAGGAATAGAATAAACATATTTGAGTTACCTTGGGTAGATAATTGATGCAACAATTACAAATGTTTATCTGTACTTTTAAGGCCATAATGCATGTGTGTGAGGTTGGTGACATTTGCTATCTGATGATGACAGGTTGGATGACAAGGACTCTGTGGATATTCATGACAACCCACCTCTCCCTGATAATGTGGTGAAAGAAGAGGACAACACGGTGAGAGATCCAATATCTACAACTTACCACATGGCCCGCATATCGAGGGTCTTTAAAAGCTGTTTTGTCAATGCCAAATAACTCTGAAGTGTTGTTTAACATTAGGATTAATATGCGTCTGACTATGATCAACACTGGGGCTTATGTTTTATAGGAATATATATATTTCTGGTTCAGGCTGTATTTAGGTAACAGTGCCTTTCACTGGTTACCTGTCAGTTGTGTCATTATTCCCAGTAAAAGCCTCCAGTATGTCTGGATCTTAAGTTATCAGAGAAACAAGCTGAGAGCTGTTAGTCATGGGACATCCTTTGTCTGCTGAACGCCATCGGAGGAACACTGATTTTTAAAGTGAAACTCCTTTATTCAGTTTATTTTATGGGTTTAATCACAGTTTGTTTGTTTGTGGGCTAATAAAAACCTCTAGAACAATGAACACTGAAGGACTCAGGGAGAAACTGACTGCAATGACGACACCATCATCAAACTTCATGTTTTGGTATTGTTTTGATGTGACAAACCCACTACTGGCAGAAATTACACATTGCATGTAAAACATAGGATTTAAAAACAGTCAACAGTCTGAAGTGTCCCTGTTGTTGAGAAATATATGTTAATAAATGTGAGCCCATGACGTTGAAAAAGAACTCTAAATAGTCAGATACCACTGGATGAATATGGATAGGTGAACTGACCCACATTCACACACACACACACACACATTCATGTGTATTCATTCAGCCTAATTACTTAAACACTCATTTGTAATACTTGATACAGAATGTATGCACAGTGGTAGGTTTGTGTAAGTATCCTGACAGCTAAATAGAGTTGCAGAGTGATGGTGCTGTAATGTGTGAACTGTCTCTGGTATTATCAGTTATTGTAGTGTAAATCCACAGCCTGGCGGCCATGACGCCTCTAATCCTGCCAGTGACGGAGAGTTGGAGCCAGTTTATTCTGTCAGGCGTCCCTCTGAGTGTGTGTGTGTGTACAAAGCTGTGGGTGTGTGTGAGATTTAGGAGTAGCAATGTCAAGCTTTCTCACATTCAGTTGGGAATTCTGTCGGTTCAGTTGAAGGCTATTTTGAGATCTGAGCTCTAAGCAGTCTATCCCACTCGTGGTTTGTGTGTGTCTGTGTGTGTTTGTACGAAAAACGTATAGTATCATGCAGAATTACATCCCAAGATATAGTTTTTAGAAAAATACATTTGTGAATAAGACTTAGTACTTTTTTGACGTGTGTGTGTTTGATGTGTCATTATTCATGATATGATAAAGTTTGTATGAACACCACACAGACTCCATATGACTCAGACTGCAGAGTGGTTCAGTAATAGATTTGTTCTCATATTAATGTGTGAATGGAGCTCATAGATACCGGAACTGTTTGAAATAAGATAAAAAACATCTCAACTGAATCCCAAAACTGAATCATTAAAGAGGATATATTAAGAGTTTGCCTGATTGCAGAAGAATTGACTTCTGAGCAGCTTCTTTCTGTGAGACTCCTCAATCTATCCGCAGCACTCCACCATAAATAATAGTTGATTTTACTATTTATTCATCCATTTATATGTTATAAGTCCATTGTTTTTAATGTTGAATTACCTTTTTTTTAAATTGAATTTCCTTTCTTACAAATCTCCAGGTATATTTCATCTATGATGAAGAGGTAGAGGATGAAGAGAAAGATGAACCACCTCCAGAACCAGTCAAACCAGTCAATGACAAACCACACAAATTCAAGGATCACTACTGCAAGAAGCCAAAGTTTTGTGATGTCTGCGCACGCATGATAGTTTGTACGTCCATCTTGTCTCCATTTTTTTTGCTAAAATAGGTTTAGTGCATCATGGTCATCATGGTAATTTAGCTTTATTTTGTTTTTATCTCCTCAGTAAACAATAAATTTGCATTGAGATGTAAGGACTGCAAAACCAACATCCACCACCAGTGTCAGTCCTACGTTGAGTTCCAGAGGTGCTTTGGTAAAATTGTAAGCTTCATGTTAAAGAGTACTACGGGCTTTAATTCAAAAATGCAAAAATGCAATTTTTTCAGATATTTAGTGTACATGCTCATATCCTTTTTTAGCCTCCAGGATTCAGAAGAGCCTACAGTTCTCCTCTCTACAGCAGTCAGCAGAATGCCACAGTCTCACAGCTGCTGCCCTTTTGTGAGTTCAATATATGTACATTTTTCTGCAAGACAAACTCCACCTTAAAAAGAAATTACCCATTAAATATTTTAATCTTGGACAGTCTGGTTTGTAAATATGCTTCAATGTGCACAAATATTTCCCAGCTGGATGTTGACTTTCAGTTTGAAGTCATGAAAGAAGCATATATGTACATTGGAAGTGCACATGATGGGAAGTTAGTTTTTACTTGCTTAAATGTTTACATGTTCGTCTGAACGAACTTTTTCATGTCAACTCAGTTTTTGGTTCAATAGTATGTGCAAAAGTTGTAAACTGAAATAGACTTGGTGTATGTACTCCCAGTGCCTTTTCATTAATATTACATGAATTAGTTTTATCAGCAGATGCTATCACAGATGAAAAGATTAGTTGTGTAGTCTTCAGAAAAAGTGGTTCACAAAATCAATTGTAACCATCCAAGAATGAACATCAATTAGTCCTGTTTTTAAATCCTCTGCTGCAGTTACAGTAATTTTGATTAGATTTAAAATCTCTTGTTAAAACATTGTAAGTTCTGCATTCATGATTTCTCAATGTATTAAATATTGATGTTTTATTGGCAGCACAGTCAAATCGCACTGACCCTGTGTTTGAGACGCTGCGTATTGGTGTGATCATGGCCAACAAGGAACGGAAAAAAGGGTCAGAGGACAAGAAAAATGTGAGTGTGAAAGCACAAATAACACTTCATACAGCACATATCTGTGCTTATATCTGTGCAAATGGTGTATATATATATTTAAGTATTTAATCTGATTTTTAAAGCACAATTAAGTTATAAAATGTCACAGTTCTATATAAATTGTGGTTTTCCTAAATTGTTCAGATGATGATGATGATGATGGAGGATGAGCCCAAACAGGAGGATGAAGAAGGTGATGGAGGTATGTGCGTGTTAATCAGGGTAGAGATACAATATCCAGTTCGACAAATGATTTAACTGCATGTTCCAGGTTCGAGTCCAGCAAGGGACATCTGCTCTTTGTCACCTCTGTGGTATCTAGCGCTCTCTGACTCCATGTTCACTGTCTCTCTTTTATGTTTGACAAATGCCTGTTGAAGATCCAATAGTTGCTCCGTCAAATTAAATTACCTTGGAGCAGATCTTTTTTCTGCCTTCAGTTTTATTACCTGTAGAAGTTTTTTGGATGTGCACTGCAGCAGAAATACCATCAAATGTTCTTTATGATCATAATGTGAAGGTGAATCATTTTCCCTGTTTGTTTGCTTGTCTTATTTGTATTGTGTTGGTCACCAGCAAACACAGAAGGAGACAAAAAGGGAGACAAGGCTCCTGCTGATGACAAGGTCAGAGATGATGATTATAATTATCATGATGATTTTTAGTTAAAAAGTGCTGATAATGACTAACGTGATACAAGACAACATTGAATAATGAATAATGTAAAGTACTAACTAAGGTGAAGTTACTTTCTTAATGACTTTTGATGTTAAGTCAGTGCTGTGCTTTGTATGTTTGTTATCAGAGTAAAAAGCTTCAGCCAGGGAAGATCGGTGTGTTCAGTCAGTCTCACTACTATCTGGCTCTGTACCGCTTCAAAGCCATAGAGAAAGATGATCTGGATGTTCAGTAAGCCCCTCTCACCACCTTAAATAATCTCTTTCTTCCTGACTGTCTCACACACACAAAAACATACTTGTTTGCGTCATTATTGTTCCCCAGTGCTGGTGACCGCATAACAGTGATAGACGACTCCAATGAAGAATGGTGGAAGGTGAGTCCTACGTTTGTTTGATGTTAAGGTGATGGTGATGTATCTTTTGTTTTTAAATTTGAGCCAGAACAATTAATGCTGCATTGATATGCTGTAGTAGGGAAGTCCTGTAACCTCCGACACAGTTGCTTTATAGCATTGTGTTCAATATTTATGTAGTTAGTATAAAGTCAACACTGTGTACCGTACCAGTGCTGAAAGTTGAAGTTGGCTGGAGGTAAATTTGTAATTGTGTAAGGTTTGCAACAGGTGTGAAAACAACCAAACAAACAACAACAAAGAGCTGCAGCTTTGCAAGTTGGAGAGCTGTCCAACTGTTAGTCTTCTTGTTCAAAGTGATAGTTTTAAAATATCAAGAACATAAATGAGTCATTTGCAGCCTCTGGACAAAAGGGTAAACAGGCTCTGTCTTAAACTGAACACAATTTAAAGTAGTTTATATAATACTGTAGATTATTGGAGGTTGCAGACAACACAAACCTGTCACACACCGGATTGGCTAGACATTGCATTTGTTGTGCTGTGATTGGTCTGTGCTTTAAATTCTCAAACTGGAAAAACATTGTGGTTTTTAAATATTGTTATAATTCTCCCAAACCATTCTAAATAAATATACTCATCACATAGACCATGTAGTTGTTAAACCATGTTTACTATTATAAAAGCTTTCTAAAAGCTTGTTTAAATGGTGCTCCAAGAAGTTTGTATGACTTATGTGACTATTATTATCTAAACCCCCTGTATTTTTGGCTTAACTGGCCGGGTGTTACTAAAATAATTAAAGAGTAATTTACTTTTGCTTAAACTGATTGTGTTCCAGAGCTGGAAACATTTCATTGCATTGTTTTCCACAGTTGTTGGTTGCTGTACCATCTCCACCTCATCATCCATCCAGCTATTTTTGTCAGTCACTCAGATTTCAAAAAGCCACACCCGATAATATGTTCACGGTTGAAAAAATCTACATGAGAAACCGGGGCTGCTTCAACACTGTTTAAGCTTTTGCTCCACCAGGGGAAGATCAGAGAGAGAACAGGCTTCTTACCTGCCAACTACATCATCCGGGTGCGATCAGGAGAGCAGGTCTACAAGGTGACACGCTCCTTTGTTGGGAACAGAGAGATGGGCCAAATCACTCTAAAGAAAGACCAGGTTGACACACATACACACTCCTATGCAGACACATAACCAAGCCATAAATGTCTCCACTATAAATAAACCTAAATCCATTTTATTTAAACTGAAGCCCAACACACTAAAATATAGAATTGAGAATTTGTTTGTGTTTATCTTTCTATGGCTGTGAGGACAGTTGATCCTCATTGGTGCAGAAAGAAAAACATCCACACACACACACACACACACACACATACTTGTATCACTGGCTTACATATACTGGAAAATTATAAACCTAAACACTAACCCACAAGAGGAACGTAAAAATAACTTAATGTAAATAAAGTCATCATGTGTGATAACATGACAGCTATTAAAAAGACACACACACACATGCACACACACACACACACACACACAAGCATGTGTCATGTTGACATGAAGAGACAAATGTTGCTGAGTCACTGATTTACTTTCAGCTATTAACATCTAACCTTGTTGTTAAACCTCCCAGCTGTTTAAATTTAGCCCTCGCTGTAAATTAACCTGGAACCTAACTTTAAATTCTTGTTCCTCACGTGAAGACATGAAAACTCTTCAACGGCACGCAATGCTGTCTGCTACAGCGTCTTTATTATGTTACCACCACGTGGTGCCAAAGCTGGAAGGTTTACAGATCTACATGTGGTGGATTTAACATATGTGCAAATCAAGATTTAAGAGTGTTCAGGGACAGATCCGCAATTTTAAAGTGCTAAATCCTGATATCGTGCCCTGTTCTCAGTTTTTCTCCAGTTGTTATTTACAGCAAAAACCTTAACTTGACACACATAAATCTGACTGCAGACTTCATGGTCAGATCCGATGGAATTTGTTCAGCTTCACTTGCACAGGAGCGATACAATGTGTTATAACCAAGATTGTACAGTTTGCTCGTCTGTTTTCTCACATGTAGTGACACAATTCTTCCCACAGACTCCAAACATGTTTTACATGCACATTTCTGTTCTCGCTTGCCTTTATTAACCTTTGACTGCACACTCTCAAATGTTGAATTGCAGATTCACTTCTGCTCAGAATTGTTGTGTGCTCTTAATAGATTTGTTGTTAATGAACTGCCATATGACACAGACACAGAAAGAGATCCCTAATTAAGATATGTCATACTCTAAATGTTTGTTGTCTTTGTTGTGTCTGTACTCAGATTGTGGTGAAGAAGGGCGAGGAGGTAAACGGCTACCTGAAGGTGAGTACAGGACGGAAGCTCGGCTTCTTTCCTGCCAACCTGCTGCAGGAGATCTGAGGAGGGATCGTATCAAATCTCCTGGCCTGCTCCCGTCTCAGTTTCATCACCTGCTGTGCCTGACATGCTTGTTATAGGTCCAAAGCAGCAATAACATTTTGATTTCAATGTTGGTATTTTTCTTTGTACGTTTGTAATGTTCACACATATAAAGCCTGTGGGCAGACTGTTACACACATTCTACAATTTACACTATGTATTAAGCATGTATTTGTGATAACAATTAAAGGAGGGTTTGGAAATGATGTAACCTCCACTACATTTTCAATGCAAATACTTTATTCTTTACCACTACATTTATTTGACAGCGTTAGTTACTAGTTACTTTGCAGATTTAAATGATTAACACATGATATAAATCAATTCATGAATTATGGTTAAGAATAGGTTAAGCTACCCAGCAGTATATAAAGTAATTCAAATGAGGACCTTTAACAAGTGGAAGATCTAGGTGATAAACACATTCCGTAATATACATTATTCTGAAATGGGCCATTCTGCATTGGTACTTCAAGTATATTTTCATGCTAACACTTTTGTACTTTTGCTTAAGTGAGTTTCAATGCAGGACTTTTACTTGTAACCGAGTATTTTTAACACTGCAGTATTGCTTTTACTCAAGTTAAGGATCTGAATACTTCTTCCACCACTACTTAAACAAAGCTGCTCATGGGAAGGAGTCACAAATATAACTGACTGTTATATTTTTCCCGGGTTAGAAATGAACAAACCTGTCAGCACATGTGTGTGTCTTTCAGTCAGTGACAGCAGTGGCAAACAATACTTTCTTAGATTCACATTATTTGAGTGTGTTACATGATACAGACTTGTAATGTGTGTGTGTGTGTGTGTGTGTGTGTGTGTGTGTGTGTGTGTGTGTGTGTGTGTGTGTAAAAGAGGTGTCATAGAAACAGGAAAAAAAGGTGCTGAATTCGTTATCATAGTTATTGGTGTCATTCATAGAAAGAAGAAGAATGCTTTCATTTCCTCACGTCGGGGAACAAATGATGGGATTCAAATGAGATGGAGGCATTTCCAGAACTTCAAAAGGATGCAGAGCTATTTTCTGTAGCTACCCTGAGTGCAGTGCAATTAGCCATAGGAAACACTGTGGGGATGGGTCGCTATGTAAAGGGACAGCTCAGAGATCAGGAATGCAGGGAATGGCATCTGTAGGTCCGAAGAGACATTCCATTAGTGACTACAGGCCTGAATAACAAGACACCTAGACAGACAGACAGACACAGGTTCACGTTGGTTCCTCTTTCCATTCATATTTTTTTTTTACCTTTTCATCTTGCCTTCTGATTGTTGCTAATACAATAAATCCTTCTACTTTTGCTCTATTTGTTTTTCTAGATTAGATTTTTTTTTATTTCGTTACCTCGTTGTTTCTCTTTGTGTCTTTCTCTCACTGGTTTCCTCTTCCTCACATACTCAACGACCACGTTTGGATGCAGGTGATGAGTTGCTTGGTCACGCCTCCTTCCTTCCCTGTTGTCTGTCAAGAGGAAAGGAGCAGCGTGGCCTGAGCAGGTATAGCGCCGCCAGGCTTCAGCAGTCCTCTGATTGGACAACAGAGCACCCCTTCAGACACGGGTCACTTCCTCCTGGGAAACAGCCTCTGCTTCATGCCGCTCTGGACCGAAGGACTGTGAGGAAGATATCACAGCTGCCATGTTGTCATCCTCGACCCCCTGACCCTGCCACTGCAGACAGACAGGATGGAGGAGGGTTTGCCAAAATGTTTGTGGATTTCTGTGGGTGGATGATTTTATATGTGTGTGTGTCTGTATGTATATATGCAAGAGGGCAAGGGCATGGAGGGGGTGACGGCATGATGCAGTGCCATTTTAATCTGTTCAGTTAAAGAGAATTTCATTTTTATTTGACACCACATCAAGAGCCAACATACTGCAGGTACATTTTGAGTTTAAAAAAGGACAGAAAAAATAACATTTGAAAATAAAAAAAAGGCCTCATTCATAACCTCTACATAAATTATATAGGACGGTTTAACTTTTTTGCTCAATCTGGAGCTTTTGACTATATCACGCGGTTGCCATGGAAACATACCGCACATGTTCAAAGCTTAGATGTTTCTGAACCTCTGTATCTTCTATTCCATGTCAAGTTGAAAGTTGAGCTCGGCCAGTTCATTTTCAACCATGGAAACAGTTTGAAGGTTTATACATGCATATTGCCATGGCAACTGCCACAACTGGAGCTTGAGTTCACAATGTTGAAGATGTATGTTAATGATGTAACAAGAAAAGCACATCATTTTTTATTGTCAGGATTGTTTTGAAAGCTGACCTGTGCTAGAAAGATATTTGTGCAGATAAAGATAGCTGATTTGAACTTTTAATACCAAGTGCTTTAAAAGGGTTTCCAGCACCAAATTTTTAAAACAATTAGTAATATTTCAGGACATCAGGATACTAAATACATTGTTGAGTGCAGGAGGTGTACATTGTATATTTATGGTACTTATCAAACCAACAAGGTGCAATAAAAGATAGTAAAATATTTAAATTGAAAAAAACCCCCAGAATTTTGGGGATATTGCATTAAATATATATAACATACTGAATCACAATGTGTTGTACTGAGACACAGTTAACATGTAATGGTGATTTTACTCAGCAGAGGTCCCTGTTGCACCAGATATAGAACAAAGCACACTGAAATTCTCTCTGAACTAACTTCATACACCACAGGGATCCAATGTTTATTGTGAGTAATAATTGTGAGTCAGTCTGTCCAGGCCAAAGGATCACAGGCCTGCATGTTTTATTTTTAATGTTAATGATTGCATGGTCTTAAATAACTGCAGACTGCGGGAATGAATCACAATATATCACATATTCGCAGAGTATTATAGATATAAGTATAACATAAGTGATTATCTGCACTTACAATCAAATACATTTAATTGGCTGCCATCTGTATCAATAGTTAGTATTAAATTTGGTGATCAAAATTGATTTAAAAGTTCCATCTCCGATCCCCTCTTAATTAGTATGTGATTCTGAGGTGTTAAGTATCACACCAATAGATCCAATTTATTACGTTAAATTTGTAATCTGTGTGACATGTCATTTTCTGCACGTTTGCACAGCATTATACAGCGCTGAAAAGTACTACAACTTTGCAAGTGTCAAACTGCACTTATGGATGTGCAGAGAGTGACACATCCCTTTTTAAGAGTGCAGGCTCTGCATCATCTCATTGACCCACCACATTCAGAATCACATTTAGCATCCAGTCGAAGAGAAAATCCATCTTCCCTCCGCCAGCCGCTGAGAAATGTAGCAATGTGTGAGGAAAAATAATAACATAAAACTATATTAGAGATCCTCTTTGCCTAGCAGAGAAGGTATTGATTTTTAGAGAAATGTTTCAGAAAGTCTCTTCCACGGGCCAATGCTAAAGCTTCTTCTTCTCCCAGTCCTCAAAGCAACAAAACAACATTTTAGACCTTTTACAAAGCTTAGGGACTGGATTTATTTTTAGAACGATTTTTACTCCCCTGCTCTCTGTCTCTGTTTTTGTGACACGTGTGAGTGTGCGTGCAATAGCGTGAATGTGTCTCAAATCCCATATTTCCTGACAGAACCTCTGAAGTGTTAAATTAAAGCCTTGACATGATTATTTTAATAACTGTTGCAGAATAACACTCCTTTTATTTCCTCCCATTTTTCATTGAGGTGCCAAAATTCAATTATCTAATCTGATTTGTATGATTATTAATCTCCATTACTCATACATTCAAAATGACTTTACAATCTTGTGTGTTGCAAAACTGGTGTCTTATTTTGAGTGGGAATGTAATGAGGTATGGTGATAGTTGGAGATAGGCTGGGTGCAGGGCAGGGGTCAGAGTTATGGACTAGACAGACAGATAAAGAGATGGAAACTGTTTCCTGTCTGGCACCATTAAACAATTCAAGGTGTTTATATGCATCGGCTGCCAAAAAGAGACCGCAGGGGGAGACAGTGGCAAGATACTGGCATCCTGTTACCACAGTACAGTACATAGATGTGTGTGTGTGTGTGTGTGTGTGTGTGTGTGTGTGTGTGTGTGTTTTCAGCTCGTCTGTCCATCCATCTGTGTGTGTGTGTGTGTGTGTGTGTGTGTGTGTGTGTGTGTGTGTGTGTGTGTGTGCGGAGGGAGACCAGGAAAGAGAGACAGAAAGTGCTGGTGTATACGTGTGATTTCATGCTTGTGCAAGAATAAATTAAAGATGGTGATGACACACACACACACACACACACACACTTATATAGAAAAAGACAAGTTTACCGAGTGAGTCCTGAGGCCCAGAGAGAGAGAGAGAGAGTGAGGGAGGGAGGGAGAAAAGGCTGGAGAGAAGACTGCAGGGTTGGAACCAATTAGGCCAGGAGAGGCTCCCTCCACCTGCACTGCGAGGCCCCCGGGGGAGAGCCCCAGTGACAAGATGAGGGATCATCATCATTACCATTATTTATTTGCTAAGCAGAGGCCGACTCTGGGGCCAATCCTAATAGGATTCACGAATTACAATGAGCGTCTTGTTTTGGGGAACACAGAGGATGCTCGCGGAGGAGCGGGGGGTTAATGCATGGATACATTTGGAACGATCAACAGCAAATACGACTGGTTTATGCTAAAATAAATACCTTTTTTTATCAATTATTCAGACCTATTATAGACTCCAAAACTATCATCAATAATATATGTGGTGTCCCTGGTAGTTCGGTACCTTCTTAAAAGAAGTCAGATCAAACTGACCTCTTGAAATCAGGTGCATCCTATTGCACTCTTTTGGCCTTGTTAGTTTTGTATTGTATTGAATTTGCACCCCAAGTTTTCTGTGCAAACTGATTTGTTCAGATTCTTCATTGTATATAACTCTCACTGTTGTATTTTGAATTTCATATTTGAGTGTTTCACTGTCAACTTTCTTTCCATCTTGTAACAGATGTACAGTACCTACTACACCCCTTGCTATCTGAAGAGGGAAATCTGTCTCCTGACATTTCCTCTGTTTTTATAAAATTTTTTAACCTCTGATTGCCAGTCAAAGTTTTCTTTATTTGTTTTTGTGCAGGGGGTCCCTGTGTCCTAGAGCAGCGGTTCCCAACCTTTTTCTTCGAGGGACCCCTCATATTTCACATTATATTCAATGTATAACAATTTCACAATGATTTTAACAATCATACTAATAGTTTTCTTCTCCCTGACGCTTGTTCTATTAGCTCTGGTTGTTATAACATGCATACTTTTAAAATCAAGAAAGCCTCGCGACCCCCCGTGAAGCTTTGGCAACCCCCAGGTGTCTGCCTTAGAGAGTTTTGACATTGCATTTACTCGACCTGACCACTTTCTCTTCTTCACAAAACATTTTTTTGATTGTACTTAAATCTTAGACAAAGTGCTCTACCCATTCAGGAGGAAATCCAATTTAATTTTCCCTTATAGCTCTTCAGTTGTAATGCAATATGTGAGAAAGCATTCAAATGAAGAAAATCTTTCCATCAATTTGCAGACAACATCTGTGCTTTAGAGAGAGTTTGGTTAGTGCTCGACACAGGCCTATTGAAATGGTTGTAGTTAGAAGGACTCAAGCTCTGTACTCACAGTAAACCGTTTTTCACTTCTACTTTAGTTGGATGTACAGGTTGAGTTTTTCCCAGAAGTGTATGTTATTTATTTAATTTATCCTGATTACTAAATTTATGGTTAATTACAATAAGATTATCCCAGAAAAAACAACAGGAAACATACTTAAATCAACATTGTCCAAACAAACAAGAAAACAACAGCAATGTGAAGTCAAAATTTGCAATTAAACAACATTCAAACATAAAATTAAAAAATTCAATTATTCAATTACTGCACAGAGATACAAAATAATCACATAACAAATCTTGGGTGTAGGGGGAGCGGAACTTAAGATTGTGTAATTTTTTTCCACCTGCACAGGTGTTATTAATGTAACAAGAAGGAGTTGCCTTACATGAAGTGTTAATTAGGAGACAACATTATTTTTCTTTACTCTTTACCCAATGAATACAACAGTAGTAGCAAGGCCAGATAATGCAGCACCTGAGGAAGAGGAGGCAGTCTGGGTCGAAAATCAGTGCAACAGGTAATAGCTAGATATCAACCAATAGTTATCGTAAATGGCAACACTTAATGTTAGCTAGCTTCGCCAGGTGCACAAACCCAGTGGAGGAATAAAAGTATTTGGATCCTTAGCTTAGTTATGTAAAATAATGAATATAAGGGTAAATGATGAGTAACAGAATTCAAGTAGTAGTTTTAAAGTATTACTAGCAAACTATTTCCTTTTGATTATTA